TGCCCTCAGTGCAGACAGACCTTCACTCCAAGACCTGTTTTAGGTAAAAACACCATGCTGGCTGAAGTGCTGGAGAAACTCAAGAAGACAAAACTCCAAGCTGTTCATCCTGACCAGTGTTACGCTGGATCTGGAGATGTGGAGTGTGACATCTGTACTGGGAGAAAATATAAAGCCATCAAGTCCTGTCTGGTGTGTCTGAACTCTTACTGTCAAAATCATCTTGAACAACATGAGACTTTGTTCAGAGGTAAGAGACACAATCTAATGGATGCCACTGGACGACTGCAGGAGATGATCTGCCCTCAACATGAGAAACTGCTGGAGATTTACTGTCTCACCGATCAGCACTGTATATGCTATTTGTGTGCTATGGATGAGCACAAAACCCATAAGACTGTATTAGCTGCAGTAGAGAGGGCTGAGAAACAGGTATGAACTGATATAAAGGATTCTAATGCAAATATCAAACGTAAATCTGAAAAATATTTAAACATATTATTATAAATGGTTTATAGTATAAATGGTTTATCTGGCGGTGCCATGTGTTTTCTAAATACTATTGAAAGTCAAAACTTATTGGTTATCAAACAAAAAATACTAAACAATGCAGTTTCCAAACAGAGACAGTTGAAGGAAACTCGAAGAAAATTCTGCTACAAAATCCAGGAGAGACAGAAGCAGCTTGAGGAGCTGAGAAAGGCTATGGAGTCTCACAAGGTGAGTTTTGAGCAGAAGAACAACTGCTGGCTGCTGAAGAGCTGTTTCAGACTCAGTTATGACTCTCCTCCAGTCAGTCAGTGAGGAGCCAGTGCTGGAGCTCTTTCAGTCCCACTGAAGCCCACTGTGGGGAACAGGCTGTGTGAGGCAGCAGTAAGAGCTGAGTGAATGGACTGATTCTGATGCTTCTCTCTCTGTGTGTCCTAACAGCGCTCTGCACAGACAGCAGTGGAGGACAGTGAGAGGATCTTTACTGAGCTGATCCGCTCCATTGAGAGAAGCCGCTCTGAGGTGACACAGCTGATCAGAGATCAGGAGAAGGCTGCAGTGAGTCGAGCTGAAGAACAACTGAAGCGACTGGAGCAGGAGATTGAAGATCTGAGGAGGAGAAACGCTGAGCTGGAGCAGCTTTCACACACAGACCATCACATCCATTTCCTCCAGGTAACAGAGATCTGATAAACAGGAGAGTTATGAGATTGTGTTTCTATCAAATGTTTCTGTGTCTTTGGTGTTTCTCTTTTGTCTTTGTGTCTTTGTAGAGTTTCCAGTCTCTCTCTGTTCCTCCTGGATTTACAGACTCACCCAGCATCACTGTCAGTTCTCGTCTCTCTTTTGATGATCTTGGTAAATCTGTGTCTGATCTAAGAGAGCAACTGGAGCATTTATACATAGAGGAGAAAGAAAAGATATCTGCTAGAGGTAAAATACTGGACATACATGCTTTCTGAAATAAGTCAAATATCAATCCATTTAATGTGCATTAAAATGAACATGGAATTGTTTAAATGTGTTTTCACCAAGAATGTCTGTTGGTTTCCTTAGTGAGATACATCCAGATCATTCCCACTCATGAATATGAGAGCAGGAAAGAGTTCCTACAATGTAAGTAACAAGATGAGCGCATACACACACACACACACACACACAAGCTACTGTACATTTAAACAAAGTGAACAACACTGGTGTACACTGATGAATCAAATAAATATCAAAAACTAGATGTTTTGTCAGTGCCTGACTGTTGACAGTTGTTTTTCTCTGTCTGATTCCTACAACTTAAGAAAACATGAAATATACGTTTCAGCTAACATGCTGCTTTATTTATTAAAATTCAGATGATTCAGTTTATTGATTTTATATTCTTTCCCCATCAGATTTCCAACGATTCACTCTGGACCCAAACACAATAAATAAACGCCTTTATCTGTCTGAAGGGAACAGAGTGCTTACTTGCACTGAGATAAACCAGCCATATCCTGATCATCCAGAAAGATTTGATCCTTACCTTCAGGTGTTGTGTAGAGAGAGTGTGTATGGACGCTCTTACTGGGAGGTTGGATGGAGTGGATATAATTGGTTGTATATAGGAGTGTCATATAAGAGTATTGGCAGGAAGGGAGACTGTACTGCAAGTAGATTGGGAGCTAATAAACATGCCTGGTCTTTGTTGTGCTTTCCTGACAAATGTCGGTTCTGGTACAATAATGTTCCAACTGAACTCCCTGCAGTCCCTTGGCCCTCTAGAATAGGAGTGTATGTGGATCACAGTGCAGGAACTCTGTCCTTCTACAGCCTCTCTGACAAAATGAGCCTCATTTATAGAGTCCACACAACATTCACTCAGCCTCTCTATGCTGGGTTCTGGATAGATCAAAAAATAAATGTGAGACTGCTTGATCCTTAATGTAGATGGTATCAAGATTCTATCAATAATAGCATGGTTTGAGTTTCAGATTATTATAATGGTTGTAATGGAAGACTGGGGAAGAACGTATGGATAATTTACATGTTACATGATAATAATACATGCAATGTATTCTAACTGATTGTTTAAGGCTGATCATGTTATGTTGTTTACATCATTTGTTGATGTTAAAGACAAAAAGATATAAGGGCATAATTTCTTGCAATCATGAACATGCATTTTAAGAAGAAACAAATGTATTTTGTACTTAGAACACAGATGACTGCTAATCACCATTAATTCTTTTTTTTAAATGTTCTCCATTCAACTATCAGAATGTGCTCCTTCTCTGTCCAAAATCATATGTGCATTTTTAATGTGATTGAACACATTAAATTAAACATGAAATGTTGAAGTAGAAAGACTGAAATAGTATTTTCTTGTAAAATGTACTCAAGCAATCTTTATTTTATTTGCAATTTGGAAATATATATATATATATTTAAAGTGTACGCTTTTAAGATGTCAAATTAAACATTTTTATAAAGCCGTGGAGATCATCCTTTATAATATCTGTACGATTCGTTAATGTTTAGCAGTGGATAATTGAGCCATTGACGTTGCCATTGATTTCTCTAACACTAGACCAAGTCCGTTTTTAAATTTGTATTCCCCATTAAATGATTAGTAACAACAATCTTCTGAGTTATTACAGTGTTAGGGATAGTGAAAGCCAGTTTGGTGTGTCTTTACTGGCAGCATTGAAAAAAGAACTACAGAACAGGCAAACAGAGAGACCTTTATGTGTGGATCAGTAGGACTCACTGCTGGCATTCATGCACTCTCACATACACACTGAGTCACAGACTGAAAGAAGAAAGAGACAGTTGAAAGAAAACGAGGAAAATATTTATATTGTATAAAGAGATTCCTTCTATTTTTTAAATCAGGCATTGCCAGAACTGCATGTGACACGATTGGTTAATCTGCACCGACCCACAAACACATGCAGACGAGACAAATACAGTACAAACTTGCCTTTGTGTGGCCTCTCACATTCTGTGGGGAAAGTGCTTTAGTGTTTATAAGTTACAGGTTGAAACACTGCAAGGGTGTGGCTTTTACATGAGCAATGCACAAAGTTGTTTCAAAGGGTTTGTCCCTGTGAGACTCAGACTGTATGGTGTCAATAAAAAAACCATAACTGTGTTTTATCAGGCTGTTCTGGAGAGTCTAATCAGGTACAGGATCCAAGCTTGGTATGGTAAACTCTCTGTACAATTAAAAAACAGACCTTCTTACATTGTCTGGACGGCCATGAATATTGTGGATCTGAAAGACTATCCATCGCTCCAAACATTATTTGAGCAGTCTGTGTACAGAGGGGCTCACAGGATACTGGCTGACCTTTCTCACATCTTACATCCTTAGTATGTGCTTCTGCCTTCAGCAGGAATTCAGAATTCTTAGCGACGGCCCTGGCCTTCAGGAAGAGTGCCCAAATGTCAGCTCAACTGGTTCAAAAACTCTTTTGTGCCTGCCTCTATTAGAATTTTGAATGGCAAGGACAAAGGCCAATGATTTGTTTCTGGTCAGCCTTAATTATCAAACATTATGCATTGTTTTATATTATTTATTCTTATTTATTGCTTGTGCAATAGTGTTTTTTTTTTCAGTTGTGCAGTGTGACTCCTGATATAGTTGTCTATACACCCCCACCCCCATTTCTGCACACTGCCGATTTCTTCCCTAATTGACAATAATTTAGTTGAACGCAGTTAAAGGGGTCATATGATGTTGCTAAAAAGAACATTATTTTGTGTATTTGGTGAACAGCAGTTTGCTGAGGCCCACTAGAGGGCCTCAGCATACATCCAAAAGGTCCAAAAGATGACTTACAATTAATTATATAAAGCATTTTTTAAATAATAATTTGAAAATATATATGAAACAATCTTTATAACAACCCCTTATAAAGTTTATATCATTTATAGGTAGACAAATTGTAATATTTCAATCACTCTATCAATCTTTTGTCTGTTTGTCTGTCTGTCTGTTTGAGGTGTGTCCTCAAAATAAAAATTTATCCTAAAATTGTTTGAAAAATATGTCAACAAATACATATTTTAAATGCTGCTGCGTATATCAGGCAATGATAACAGTATGGCTATAGTCTCCTCCTCTGCTGTGTGTGCGTTAGAAAAGCGTGAATGGGCCAAGTAGGTTAGTAATACGAACGAGTAGCTGTTGAGCAATATTTAACTTTTATTGAGCGACCTACACTGGGCGTGACTTTCTGAAAATATTGGACACTCGCGTTGTTCGCGTATTATCTCCTCATTTCTTGTCATATCTCCTATTGGACTCTGATGTTTAATTTGTGCGGTGATGACAAGCACTTTCACTTTAAAGTAACAGTCGCAAAACCTGGACGAACCGTGTGAAGTGCTTCATAAAGTCTGTTTTCCTCCGGACCAGTCTTCTAGGTTTTCTCAGCCAGAGGCTCTTTGATAATGTTGGAGTGTTTATTGACGATCTTTCTGGGCTTTATCGCCGTGCTGCTGTTCTGCGCTTTCTGCGGACGCAGAAGGTGAGTTTTCTGATATTTTGCTGCATGTTGGGAATGTAGTCATGTAGACGATTTCCCCCCCAATTTTAATACGGATGAATACGTTGTTTAAATGAATGTTAATTGTGCTCATGTGTCTATGTGGAGCGTGTATTTATCAATAGGCAGACGCCTTTTGTTCAAATATTTGAAGAAACATGATGCATCAACAGATTCATGATTAGTGTGAATGTCCAAACAGATGAAACTAAATGTTATAATCGTCATTCATCACTTAAAGTACATTTAAGCCGCGTTGGCAATGAAGTGTCTATTAAGACGATATGAATAATTCACAGCAGGACTGGGATAGGCTTGCAGCGATAGACGGTGATACCGTTGTTAAGCCGCAACACCGGTTACGTTTAAACTTAGTGTAATTTATTTCTTTTATTTGACAAGGTGTATGCTGTGCCTCCAAGCTTTCTTATTTGTTTTGCTAATAAACTTTCTAGTTTCTTATTTATTTGGTTATATATTATACATGTTTACTGATTTCCAGTTTTGTATAGGCTACCTATTTAAACTTTATGTAAGTTATTTTTTATTTTATATTAGGCATTGAATTGCAGCTAATTCGAAAGTGAAAGTAAAATGTGCACGGTGCTTTTAAGCTATATAAAGGCGAAGGAAAGCGAGGGAAAATTCAAACGAACTAAAAACGAACAATTGCTTTATGCCCAATTGCCGCTATTTGAAAGTGAAAGTAAAATGCGCAAGCGGCTTTTGCAAGCTATTTAAAAGCGGAGGAAAAGAGGGAAACACCCCTGCCCCCAAGGTGATACAGGTATTATCGGTGTTGTCACACGTCAATTAACCGGTGGGAAAATGTCCTCACCGTCACAACCCTAGACTGGGAGCTTGTTTAGTCTGTTTGAAATTGAACCTTTCAATAGAAGGCTTCCAGTGCAGGTAGTCCCACAAGAATCTTTTCTTTCGAACAATATAAACTGATTCAGTGACTCGATTACGTCATCGCGTTGTCCTCTAACTAATAAAGCCACATGTAGAGGTATAATTTTTTATTACGTTATTTATAAAGATGTTTATAATTTCATTGGTTCCAGTACCATTTGTTGCAGCCATGATTTGGTTTATAAATCATTAAGTCATCTTAAATATATATTTTTAATTATATATTATATTTTATAATATAATTCTAACCAATCGTTCAGAGCTGCATTTCCCAAAAGCATCGTATATCTGAAGTAGATCTAGAGACCACTGGTACATGCATTGTGAACTGGTTTAAATGATTCATTGAAAAGATTCGACTGAAAGAACGACTCATTCACGAATCGGGCATTATTTTGGAGCAAAGATCCTATTGATTCAAAACCGCTTGTTTGCATGTTGAAACAAGGATGTGCATTACAACATAACTGAAGCACACTGCATGTAGCCTATTACCACACAAGTGTTAAGTTAAGTTAACTTGAAAATTAACATCCGTACTTAATTTGTGTATAGTTTCTGTGCAGAGGCTTTTAGTCAAGAGACTTACCCCACTATTATAGCTGCAGTGTGTTTTCTTGTTCAGTTAGGGAGCTGCAGTCTCAAAAGGATGTTTGGAGAACTAATTCCCAAAGGGCCACCCCATCCTTTTCTGGTCAGCCTCGAAAAGTAGGGCATGGGAGATATGCAGTCAAACCAAAAATTATTCAGACACCTTCAACATTTCTCACATTATCACAGTTTATTCACTATAGCTTAGAAAATGGTAATAAAATATGACAAGAACTCAAAAGAGTTAAACAGTGTCAGAACAAATTCATCTTGATAAAGTCAGATAACTTTGAAAGAAAGGTATGTAACAAAACATGGTCAGGTCAAAGTGTCAAATAACATTTTTGTATTTTATAATGACATAGAATGGCAGTCTCTTAGACATAGTTGAAACAAGCATGTTAAAAAAAAAAAAACATGACTGTTACATTGTGTGTGCATGCTGCAGGAAGGACGGTGAGCCCCCGCTGATTAAAGGCTGGATTCCATTCCTGGGAAAAGCTTTAGAATTCAGAAAAAACTCTCAGCAGTTTCTTACACAACTGCAGCAGGAGCATGGAGATGTTTTTACTGTACTTATAGCAGGTACATCTGACAAACACACACACATGTTTACTTAGCATTATTTATACACAAATCATTTTTTTAAAACGAGAACGTCTTCTGACTTCTAACAAAATGAACATTTTGTCATTTTTAGCTGAGTTTTGTACTCCCTGGTTTCCTTTTGCTCTTCCTCTCAGATGACCTGTGTTATGCAACACATGCTGACATAGTTACGGTAATTAAAAAGATATGGTCCTGAAAGACGTTGTGAGAATAGCAATTTCTGAATAGCTGATAAATAACATGGACCTTTTTTCAACATCAAGATTTAAGGTTACAGTTTTTATAACCGTAAAAGGGAAAGTGTATATTTTAGATGCTTTAATTCATCACCGTTTTACTTTTTTTCTCCTTTTTAATTACTTTATTTGTAGTTTATTTCATTAGTCCTGCAGTTTTTACAAGTACAAATATTCCATGTCATTTTTTCTAGGTGGTTTACTAAAAATCAAAAGAGTTCACTCTGACTCAGAAAGTCTGATATTATGGTACAGTATCTATATTTGTTCCTCCTTGGAGTTTTATTTTTATTTTTTTATTTTTTATTTGTTTTGTTTGTGTGTTTTTATTTTATTTTGTCTTCTTGATAATTGTAAGTCTGTAGCACCAAGAGCAAGTTACAAGTTGTGGAATCCTTAGAGTTAGTTTTGAGTATGATTAAGTGATGTTAGCAGACACCTCTAAAATCATGCAAAAAATATACAAAAAAATTATCTGGAAAAAAAAAAAACTATCTGAAGTAGAGCTTGTCAAACTGCTGGACATTATGCATTATGTCATGACATACAGCTATTTATTTTTGTATGTTTCTTTAGGAAGGTACATAACATTCATAATGAACCCCCTCCAGTACTCGTCTGTGATCAAACATGGAAAACAGCTGGATTTCCACACGTTTTCAGACAGCGCAGCATCCAGGACGTTCGGTTACCCACCGGTCCGGAGTGGCCTCTTCCCTGGAATGAGTGACAGCCTACAGAGGAGTTACACTCTGCTGCAGGGGCCTGCCCTCGACCCGCTCATGTTCAGCATGATGGGAAACTTACAGCAGGTCCTGCGACGCCGTTTTCTGCCCAGTGAAGAGTCTGGGTCTGATGGCGATTGGCAAGAGGCGGAACTATATGAGTTCTGTAAATGCGTAATGTTTCAGACCACATTTAACACGCTATATGGACATTCGTCAAATCTGCATCTGGATCAGCTGCGAGAGGACTTTGAGAAGTTCGATGCCATTTTCCCTTTACTAATGGCCCGTGTTCCCATCGCCTTGCTGGGAAAAACCAAAGAAATTCGTGAGAAGCTGACAAGATTTTTCCATCCTCAAAGAATGGCAGAATGGAGGGCTCCATGCGAATTCATACAGACCCGAACGGCCCTGTTCCAGGAGTATGACACGCTTCAGGACAGAGATAAAGCAGGTGACTCTCCCACATGCACACACACAAACATACACACTCATACAGAAAATCTAAAATCTTTCTTGCGGGGCCCACATATGACTGTGAAGCGTGTTGCTGATGGTAAATGTCCCATCTACAGAAGTATGATAATTTTCCCATCATGACATGAAGAACCCTGGTCTTCAGATTTTGGGCACCAAAAGAGATTATTTAAATATTAAGTAAATGTACCACAATTCTCGCAAAAAAGGAGTGTTTACACAGACTTTTTACAGTAGTTTTAGAGGCAGCATAGATGCCATCCTAAAGCATGTATTAAACAATAACACTAAACAAATAGAAATATGCACTGTAAAAAATTACCGTGAATTTAACAGTAAAAGACTGTAAAAATGCTACAGTAAAAACCTTTTAAATGGTTAACGGTAAATTCCCCTACTATATACGGTGAAAAACTGTATTGGACATTACATGTAATTTTACGGTAGTATTCCGTTTTTGGAAGTGAAAAAGACCGTATAATTTACAGTGAATAACCGTAAATTGACATAATGAAATTACGGTATTTAACTGTAAATTTAAGTTAAAACCGTAAAACCTAAAATGGTGCTACCGTATTTTTTACGGTAAAATTCCGGCAACCACAGTTGCTGTTTTTTTACCGTACATTTTACGGATTTTTTTTTACAGTGTGGTTAATGTATCAATTTAACTACACTTTGTTGTATGAACAGTAAGTACACAGTGTTAAGTCTCATAGTTAGTTGTAGTCTGTATGGTTGTGTTTCAATGAAAAAGATCATAAGAGTAACTGGTCCAGGAATCTGACTTTACTAGTTGCGCTGTCTGTTTTGCGCTTAAGATTGACAATAATTAGGGCACTATGAAATCCATTTTACTTTTTGCCAAATTCTGTTTTTTTTTTTCAATTTAAATTTTTCTAGACTCTGTTTTAATGGTTAAATTAAATTTTATTTATAAAAAAGCATGCCTAAAAGCACTGAAATTGAAATCATAAAGCTTACACAATTTAACATAAATTTATTAAAAGTTGAACAAAAATTAAATTTTAAGGCCTTATGAAATATGTTATATTTTTTCTCAGATTCAGTTTTTTTTTTTTTTTTTACTAAATTCTGTTTTCCAGTAATTTTCTGGATTCCATTTTAATTGTTTCATTAAATTGTAGTAATCAAAAAACATCTCTGATTAATTGATTTTATAAAAAATAATTCATTATTATTTTATTTTACTTTAAATTTTTTTTTCTTCAGAAATACTGTTTTTCTGGTAAATTATTTTTATGATAAATATTGATTAAAAATTATGTTTTAATGCAAATGTTATTAGTAGCAATAGCAAAATTATATGCGTTATAGAATAAATTTTTTATGACCTGATTCCGCGATTCTGTCTGCATTTTCCTTTTTTTTTTTTTTCATTTTTCCTTGACAGGACAGTAGAGATATGATAGGAAGTGAGTGGGAGAGTTAGAATGGGGTAGTTGGGAATGGGAAAGGTCCACGAGGCGGGATTCAATCTCGGGACACCCGAAGCGCAACTGCGCCATATACACACACACACACACTTTAGTTTCAGTTTTAGCGATTTTTTTTTTTTGGATACTTCAAATTAAACATATTTTATTTCATGTAGTTGCCAGGGCAGCATTTATTGTCAGACATTATTGCTGATTTGACTCGTTTTAATGAATCATAATCTTGACAAACTGCTTTGGAGATTTTGGTACTTCCCCATTCAAGTATAAAAGACTTGTACATGCATGCCTGTTCCCCACATTAAATTCCTGCCTTGGGGTGTTGCCAAGATGACTGTTGATATCTGGCTTGTAAATTGACTTGTGTTAAAGGGTCTTTTTGCCATCAGTTTCTGTCTGATGAAATGCTGGAAGCAGGATGTGCATGAAAAAATACAGTGTTACACACAACGAACACTCATCATGACTTTGCTGCATTGGTTTGGACCAGTGCCCAATGGTTTAGACACATACACTTAGCTTACTTTCTGTCTCTGTCCACAGCACATCATTTCGCCATGCTGTGGGCATCAGTGGGAAACACTATCCCAGCAGCCTTCTGGTGTCTTTACCACCTCATCTCCTGCCCGGAAGCCCTTGAAGCAGTGAGAGCAGAGATTGTCAATGTGGTTGGAGAGAAGAACATGCAGTTGGTCTTTGAAGAAGACATCACAATTACACGACAGCAACTAGAACAGATGGTTTACCTGGGTAACACACACACACACACACATTCTTACATAGTAACCCATCAAACACATTTTAATTATTGTCTATAAGCAGTGCTATCGATTTGAAGTTACTATGCCAGTTTTCAAGTTCAAAGCCTTTTTCTCTCTACAGAGAGTTCAATAAACGAGAGTTTACGTATCTCCTCTGTATCAATGAACATCCGTGTGGTTCAGGAAGATTTCTGTTTGCGTCTGGATGCCCAGCATTCAATCAACCTACGAAAAGATGACATTGTTGCTCTTTACCCACAAACCACACACCTTGACCCTGAACTATACGATCAGCCTCAGGTAACATGCATCTGCAGCTGCCTAGATCAGTGATTCTCAACCAGAGCGCCTCTTACTTCAAGCCTCAGTAATTATTATCAATGCTGAAGACAATTTTTGCTGCTTCATATTATTGTGGAAACTGCAATATATTACCATTCAAAAGTTTAGGGAGAGTAAGAAATGAATACATAAATTAATACTTATTACTAAATTGATCAAAAGGAAAGACTTGTAAAGAATGGTACAACATGTTTCTGTTCTGAATAAATGCTGTTCTTTTGAATTTTCTATTCATAACAAAATGCTGAAAAAAAATTTATGAGGATTTCCACAAAAATATTAAGCAACAAATACCGTTTTCATCATTGATGATAATAAGAATTATTATTAATAATTGAGTACCAATAATAACTGAGCACCAAATCAGCATATTGTAATGATTTCTGAAGGATCACGTGACACAGAAGACTGGAGTAATTACCATCACAGGAATAAATTACAATTTATTACTCATCCAATAAATCCTTAACAACTAGGAAGTCACAACCTTTGAATACTGTTATGGACAACGGGGGACATGAAGTCAAAAAGTTGAGAATCACTGCTCTAGATCCACCTAGCAGACCTCATTGTAAACATACTTCTTTATTGTTAGAAAACGTATTTATTGAAATGTCTTTTGTGTGTGGTTTCTTGTAGCGCTTCCAATTTGACCGTTTTGTGGAGGATGGGAAGGAAAAAACAGATTTTTATAAATGTGGCCACAAGGTCCGGTACTATCGTATGCCTTTCGGCTCTGGAGCCACACAGTGTCCAGGGCGTTTTTTTGCAATGAATGAGCTGAAGCAGTTTGTGTGTGTGGCTTTGCTCATGTGTGAAATGCAGTTGCTGGAGAACCAGCAGGAGGCGATGCTAGACAACAGCCGTGCTGGTCTGGGCATCATGCCACCTGCTAATCAAATCACTTTCAGATACAGAACCAGAAAGCCAGGGGACAGTATGAAGAGGGATGAATGAACTAAATGAATAGAGAGTGACTGTCGTCTGGTCATTGCTTGGGTATTTTCCTTTCATTTTTTCACAGGGTGCATGCAAAGATTTTGTAAAATAATGCAAGCTGCAGTATACATAACACTGCCATGGAAAAATCTCATCTTTGGTTTAGACATTAATGGCTGTGTGTCAAGTTATTTTGAGGGGACAGCAAATTTACACTGTTATACAAGCTGTACACTCACTACTTTACATTGTAGCAAAGTGTCATTTCTTCAGTGTTGTCACATGAAAAGATATAATAAAATATTTACAAAAATGTGAGGGGTGTACTCACTTCTGTGAGATACTGTATATGCTACTATGACATAAGGACAGCTTTTCAAACATCTTACCTCTCATAAATCAATTTGATCCTTTCACTGGGTGTAAATAACAATTACAAACTCATAAAGTGGCAAAGGCTGCACATGCCAGTAAACGGGATTTCATGCACTGCAGTCTGCAGCTCATCAGACTAATCATTTCTTGATTCCAGCATTGAATATTAAAAGGTAAATGTTTCTGCTGTTTTATTTTATTTTTTAACCCTTAGAATTTGGTCAGGATTATTCATAAAGTCATAAAATGCATACTGAATAAACAAATTGCTGTTCAAAAGTTTGGGGTCAGTAAGATTTTTAGATATTTTTGAAGTCTCCAAGTTCACCAAGGCTACATTCATGTGATTAAAAATACTGTAAAAACTGTAAAGTGAAAAATTATTACAATTTAAAATAACTGATTTCTATTTTAATGTTTTAAAATGTAATCTGTAATGGCAAAGCTGAATTTTTGCCAGCAACCAGTGTCGCATGATCCTTCAGAAATCATTGTAACATGCTGATTTGATGCTCAAGAAACATTTATTATTATCAATGTTGAAAACAGTATGCTGCTTAAAATTTTGATGTAAACTGTGATCAGCTTTTCTCAGGATTCTTCGATGAATAGAAAGTTCAAAATAAAAAAATTATTTGAAATTGAAATCTTTTGTTACAATGTAGTCTTTACTGTCACTTTCGATCAATTTAATGCATGCTTGCTTAAAAGTATTAATTAAAATCTTACTGACCCCAAACCTTTGAATAGTAATGTACACAAATTATTACTTATTTAATGGTTACTGGTTGATATTAGTTTTTTTTTTTATATCACTACTGGTCAGTATTTCATATTTTATCAGTTGATATTGAAAACTTAATTATGCATGCTCATTTAAATTTAAATTATCTTTGCTGTGATATAACGTCCTATTAAATTTAATCTTTAAAAACACCTAACCATTTAATAACATTGTAAAGTACAATCTTTAGCATATTACTTCAATACTATTACAGTACATACTCTGCTGATACACTCAGTGGCAAGTTCAAATACAGTTTGGACAAAGAAATCAGACAAAGGCATCATGGGACACTCAATACTTTACTGGAATGTTGGAGAGACAGCATGTGCAAAATGAACAAATGTAACTCGCTTCAATAGCAACTGTACAACACTAACAAAAATAAAACACCTCCACATTCTTAATGTGGCTCAAGTTTCTTTTTTATACTAAAAATTGTAACAGTCAACAAATACTTTTACTCCCACAAACCACAAATAAGATGACAATTATTCGTGCATATTAAGTTGCTGCCACCTTTTCACAGATTAAATCAGATCTCAGACATTTCAACAGGTGGACCCCAGGTAAGCAAAATTCAGGGTCAAAGAGCAAGGTTAGCAGATGTTTTTGTGGAGTGATGTTTTTAGAAGTGATGTTCTTGTTAACATTTTAACTTGTTATTGCATGGTCCTCAGGTCAGAAGCCAATGTCAAGTTGTATCTTCTGCTCAAAAACAGCAATGATAAGCATGATGCCAAAGCCTAGGAGTATCCCAGCATTCTGCAGGAGGAAGAAGCCATAGTGACTGAAGCCTGCTTCACTCGCATCATTGTGTAACATCTCCGGTACCTATAAAACACACAAAAAGGTCCATTTTAGAGATTACGGTTTCAACTAGGTAAACACAAATGACCATAATGTGTATGTTGCAAAAAAAAAAAAAATATATATATTTTTCCCCCCCTTAAAAATACATACAGTAATTAGATATTATATATATTGAAAATAAAAAAATAACAGTGTTCGTTTGCAATTATTTATATACTACTACAGTTTTTATTAATATTTTGAAAAGTTGTTTTATATTTTCAGTTTTCATTTGAATTTGCTAATTTTGTTTTGGTTTTTATTTTAGACAGTAATTTTGCACTTCAGCAATATTAATTCAGTTTGATTTTAGTTTATATTTAAATATTTATTGTGTAACATCTCCGGTACCTATAAAACACACAAAAAGGTCCATTTTAGAGATTACGGTTTCAACTAGGTATACACAAATGACCATAATGTGTATGTTGCAAAAAAAAAAAATATATATATATTTTTCCCCCCCTTAAAAATACATACAGTAATTAGATATTATATATATTGAAAATAAAAAAATAACAGTGTTCGTTTGCAATTATTTATATACTACTACAGTTTTTATTAATATTTTGAAAAGGTGTTTTATATTTTCAGTTTTCATTTGAATTTGCTAATTTTGTTTTGGTTTTTATTTTAGACAGTAATTTTGCACTTCAGCAATATTAATTCAGTTTGATTTTAGTTTATATTTAAATATTTCACTTTATTTCAGCTGTATTTCAATTAACAGAATGCTTTTAATAGTTGGGCCCTCCTCAATCACAGCATTTCTCTGTTTCTGTGCTACTCACCATGTCCACAAGAGCGACGTACAAGAACAACCCAGCCGTGAGAGCAAAGATCCATGTAGCAACATTTTCAGCATAATGACCAATCAGAATGCCTGTGATCATGCCCAAATATCCCATCAGGGCTGAGAGCAGATTGTACAGGATGGCCTGTCGTACTGACATACCCGCCTTCAGCAAGACTGCAAAATCACCTGCATAAATGAAAAAAACATTTCAAAGCAATGTGATGAACAACAACCTGACTTCTGATTCCTTTGCCAATTCCATACACCGATTCATTTCTAAAGACAAACAAAACTGTCACTGTGATGACAGACAATGTCTTACCAAGCTCATGAGGAAGCTCATGGCAGAACACAGCGACTGAGGTACTAAGACCACTGGACAAACCTTCAGTGAAAGCCGCCCCTGAAATACAAAATTGCATATAATCTTTAAATGCTGTTCCAAAGTATGCAAAAGCCTTGGTATGCATTTTTTGTGATAAACTTTTTACACATCAATTTTATTATATGCACAGTATATACAGATGCATATTTAGCATTAACTAACTAATTGTAACTATGTACAGTTGCCAAATCCTCTGAGAACAAATGAAGATTTTTTTATTTAAATATCTTTATTTATATAAATAAAAAAAATTATGTTAAATTATATTATATAAAAAAGAAATTGTGCATTTTAAAGGTATACATTAAAAAATATTTTTAAAATTGAAAAAAAAAAACTCTATATATAAATATAAACAAATTGTGAAAGCCTGTATGTGATTTGTAAATACATGCAAAAACAGGTGGTTTCAAAAGTGCACCAACAAGTTTATCAAAGCCTGTATAGTGGACACTGTATGCATAAACTTTTTTACACTTGTACTGCACGTCCAAGGTTTCATTTGTTCTGTGTGTGTGTGTAAAACGTACCTATGGCAAGTCCGTCGCTGAAGTTGTGAAGCCCGTCTCCCATGATGACCATCCAGGCGAGCGTGGCCACGCCGGCCTCCTGGAAGTGCTGGAGCGAGTAGGAGTGTGTGTGTCGGTGCGTGTGTGTGTGCGGGGGGTGGTTCTGGGAGTGGTGGTGATGCAGTATGTGGTGATAGTCATGGTGATGATGATGTTGCTCATCTGATTGGCCAACAGTGTCATGGAAGTGGGAGTGGCATTTGTTTTCACAGTCAACATCATTGTAGAGCTCTGCCCCCAACATCACCTCCTCTTCCTCTGCAACACCCCGCCCACATGCACTTCCACCATTTGTTTCAGCATTACCCTCAATCGTCTTGACATCATTGTCTTCTAATGACGGCAGTTTCTCAGATTCCAAAACTTCTGTGGTGAAATCAACCCTCTTTTGCACCTACAAGCATAAAAATTACATTTTAAATGACAGAAATTCAAGGAACACCTCTATGCAACATCCATGTCATTATAACATTTAGGAAATTAATACTATGACTTTTGAAATGACTAAAAGAAGAATGTGAATTACACGACTATAACATGAAATATGAGATCTTAGACTTGCTTTTCTGACCTTCTGTTTTTTGTCCTTGTACATTTTGCCGAGGGTCAGGAAGTGTTCGATGAGGAACATGATGTAGACTCCACTCAGAGCTGTGAGCCCAGTCCATACCGGCCGAAGGGAATCCTCTTCCACCTCTTCACCGTGGTGATGATGCTCAGAGTGGCCGTGCTGGTGATGACTCTGAGACTGAGAGACGCCAATCAAAGGTCAGGACATTTTAAATAACATGCCTTTGACTTTTTATTTTGTAGAATAGAGAAAAACATGTCTATAATTCACATTACCATTCTGTTTAAAAGTTTGGGGTCAGTAAGATTTTTTTTTACGTAATTAACACTTTTATTCACCAAGCTTGCATTAAACTGATCAAAAGTTAGAGGAAAGACATTTACAAAGTTACAAATGTATCAGTTTCCAAAAAAAAATAATTTAAGCAGCACAGCTGTTTTCAGCATTGGTAATAATAAGAAATGTTTTGTTGAGTATCAAATCAGCATACTAGAATGATTTCAAAGGGTGATTTCTAAAGTGCATGATTTCTAAAATCATGTGACACTGAAGACTGGAGTAATGATGCTGAAAATTCAGTTTTGCATCACAGGAATAAATTACATTTTAAAATCCAATAGAAAACAGAAACAGTTTTCAATTAGAAAACAGATGTTTTTAATTGTAATAATATTACTTTTACTGTTTTTTTTAATTCAAATGAGCAGACTTTTAAAAAGTTTTAAGACTTCTAAAACATTTAAAAAGTCTTACTGACCCCAAATGTTTGAATGGTAGTTTATGTGCATTTGTAAATATGCAATCACAGGTGACTTCCCATGATTCAATCATATTAATAAAAACATGGACCAAAAAAAAACAACAACTAAATACTACATTTGAAAGCAAGTTTGTGTCTTACATGTGGTATGAGGTGGAGGAGAGCGTCTCCACTCAGAGTTCCCACTGCAAGGGCCACCAGGAAGCTCAGCAGGAAGTTGAAGCAAACTCTGTTCATGAGTGGGATCAAAACCACCCCAACTAACGCCAGCAAACTGATCAAAGTGATGGAGAGAAACCCTCCTACCCATGCTGTAACACAAACACACAATTTTTAGAAAGGCTGCATTTTTCACAATAGTACCACACATTTGTTATTTTTGTGGTATCAGTGGATATTGGATATTTCATTGTACATGATCATTTTTACATTAACATTACCATTGCCATCATTTAACGCTCACTCAAAGTTTATCTTTGAAATATAATTATGAATAATTTAATAACACTATTTTATGTTAAATATGTTAAATGTAATCTTTAGCAAATATCTAAATTTCATGCCTAAATTAAATTAAATATTGATTGGATTTATTTTTAGTGTTTTGTTTTGTATTTATTTAGACAAATAGTTGTATTTGCACCGGTACCTATGTAACCGGTATGTACTAGAACTGAATCCGAACGCAGATTTCGGTGCCATGCCTGAGCGATCGATTAAAATATTTGTCCTCTGGTTCTCCGAAACGGACGTAAGAAGCATCATCACTGGCACCGCACGTGAAAAATAATTTCCCCACTGAGAAAATGCACGTAAACTCAAGTCGGAAAGCTCTAATAATACAAATCCAACACATCTTTGTAGTAACGAGAGTGTCCATGTTGTTTTCACATTCCGACTTAAAACTTTATTTATAAAGAAAAAAAGAGCCTCGAACACTAGCATTCTCTATTCTTTCTCTATTCTTTCCACTTATTTTTTATTTATTTATTATAAATAATGACCTTCTAACACTAGAATTATCTGTTCTTTTTCTGTTCTATTGAATTGTTTTATTTTTATTTAAAAATGACCCTCTAACACTAGCATTCCCTATTCTTTTTATATTCTTTCTACTTGTTTTCTTTTTATTTATTATAAAAACAAAATAAGCAAACAAAAACAAAAAAACTTGCTACATATACTGTTAGGTGAAGCCCCGCCCACAAACCCCACCCCCTACTGTCCTTTTTTTGGAAAACAAAAATATGGTCACCCTATTATAAATATACTTAATTATTATGAAAATACCAGAGAGGTCTTAAATAACACAGATAAACTATATCGTCACAGTCGAGTGTTTATTGTCTTTGTTTTATCATTCAAAACATTTATATGTTCTGTTTCCTCAGTTACAGATATAATAGCAATGCCTTTGTCCATATAAGGGATTTCCTGGAGGGTCATGAGTTCTCTACTTCTGTGACTGGATATGTGGATTTTCTGTGTGAGGGCGCCCTCTGGCGTCCAGTATGAATGAAACAGACATCATGTGTTTATAGTGCTAATCGTCTCAATGGCCATAGACTTGCAGTCTGTACCTGCCCCCATTGAACACGCCCACAGCAATGTCAGTGACATCACTGGAAAGCGGCGTGGCCACCTGCCGATCATACTGGCATCCTAAAACATAAAAATATTATCATTATTATAACAATGCTGAAATAGCTCAATGTCAACATTGCAATTTTGAAACAGAAAAAAGCTTAAAAATCTAGTTTTTAATGCCTCCATTTTTTCAGTACAATTTGTGTGAAAATGAAAACATTCCTTTTATTTAAAAAAATATATATAGTTAATTAATAGTTTTTGAACTACATTTAGTTACTGAGTGATTCATTTGTTGTTGACAGAAAGTTAAATCAAGTAAATTGCTCTGAAAAATCTGATCTACCTGGTCAGGATGACCTATAGTAGTTTAATCGGTCACAACAAGGGTAGCTCGTCTGTATCCATCCAGATGCAGATAAAGTTTATACATGTGTGGCTAACCATGATCCCTGAACACACACACACACACACCCAGCAACAAATCTCACACACAAATAGGCTACACTCCTGTTTACACACGTGTTTATTTAGCTAGGCCTATTTATGAGGACATAGGCCTACAGTCTAACCCAAAAAGAAAACCTTTTGTATTTTTAGAACTGCAAAAGTATTGCATTGTGTACAATACTAATTGTTTTGTATTGTGTTGTATTGTTTTTGTTTAGACTATATTTATTTTACATGTTCGAAATAAAGTTTCAAATCCAATCGAATTAAAAAAAATAAACATATGTGCTCTGTCAGGGGTTTTCTAGTGGTTTCGAGAGATAATTAAACAGATAAAAATGATTTCTAATTTTATTGTATTTTTCAGAGCAATTAAGGTTAACTGGCTTGATTGTGAAAAGCAGTTGTGAAAAGTACATTTCAAATTTATTTTGATTTCTTTTAATGTTTATTCATTTAACATTACAGTAATAGTGGTTATACAGAAAAGGCACCCTCCTAATAAAATTAATATTTTCCTGGTAGTCTGATATATTAATAATGTATTTGGTTTTTGCACAGTAACAATAGGCTATAAAATAATTTAATCTGAATGCAGTTGTACTATCACATTATAAATGTATCTTTTTACATATCCTAATTAATAGGTCTTTATGTCTTTATGTTTTAGAAATGGGATTTTCACAAGGAAATCCTCATATTTGGTATTTGGCATCAAAACGTTTCAACATTTCAGAAATAGCAAGCTCTGTTGTGTTTTTCATAGTCTTTTTGGCCATTACCCCGATAACATCCATCCGAAATATGATCATCTCTTTTTGTGTGACGTTTTGTGTTTGATATTCTAGGACCACCTTCCTAAAATATAAAGGCAGCTAGCCTACCATACATTTAGTGTAATAAAAAAGTATTGTATGATATTATAAAGACAAATAGTATTTTAAAAGTAAAATAATTTAAATTGAATGATTTATATTAAATATTACACATAGACCTATATATATTCTAATTATTAAAATTATATTAAGTATAATTTATTTATACTGTTACTAGTAAAGCCAAAGCAAATAAATTAGCAAGAAAAAAAATATCCAGGAAAAATTGACTGTATCGTTAGGCTATAGTTAGTTACTCTATAGAGGTTTCACGTGACCATAGTCCATCTCGTGTTGTTGATGTGGAATCTTATAGCTATCTCTCTAGCTATCTCTCTCCGTTTCCCCTCCTTGCCTCTGTTTCTGTGTCCGTCTGCTTGTATCTTAGCGCAGATGAAAGGTAGTGAAGGAAACTGAGACAGTCCCTGCGCGAGCGACACTATAGGATAATTGGAGCGCGTGAGCTGGTGTGATGCGTCTGAAGGTATCGGGTCACTGGCCCTTCTATCAGCTGGACCGATGACAAGAAGAAATGAGCCATAGCAAGTGCAGCATCAGCTTTCATGTGAATGAACAATTCCGCGTCATTTGGCGTACCAGTCGCGCGGAATCCTCGCAATGAGCCGCATTATGTCCGGTGGCTCGTGCGCTGCAGGTGCTGGATGCTGTCTCGCGATGTTCGGTCTGCTGGTCCTCGCGCAGATGCCCGGGGCCCTGACGTCCGACACGGATAGCGACTGTTTGTCTGAAGATGACAAAGGATGTGAAGGTGCGCTAACACAGAAATACACACAAGTCGTTATGGTCGGGCGGATCTTCCATGAACTTAAACTGTTTTTAAATTGAGCTGAATATAAATAGGCTATATATAATCCCTTTACCTAATCCAAAACATAAACGTGCACTGGCATTTTTACAAGTAAATGTATTTTAAAAAATGTAGTCTCTTTATGTAAAGAGGTTTTAATATTTTACAGTTTATGAAAATCTCCTGCAGAAAAAAATATGCTAAAATAGTCAAATGTAGTAGGCTACATCATTAGGAACCGTCCTTGTTGGAAATGCATGGAGTTTTTGTATTATTATCATTATTTGCTAAATGTAAATTTCAAGTACCTAAAATACAACATTAGGGAACAAAACAAATGTGGGAATACAGAGGAAAATAAATAATAAATACATAAAATGTACATGTTACAATTTTGTTAAAAATTGTTCTTATTTTTGATGTTTTTAAAGCTTTTTTATTAGTAAACATTTTTTTAAGTGATGATAATAGTAAACAAAAATCAGAAGCAAAATAGTTTACATTTATTTACCCATCATGCAAATGAAGTTTGATACATAATTTATCTCCTTAATGCCAGAAAAATCACAGTGAAAAATAACCTTAAAAGAAAAAAAGAAAAAGCTAAATTTTAAGCCAGAAATGATTGGTGCATTTTTTTTCAGTAAAACTTTTAACTCATTTATTACAAGGGTAATAATGATTAATTATTTTATTATGAAACAAATATTTGTTGGGTGCTGTCCATACCTTCTGAAAATTAACATTCAGGTTGGAGGTTTTTCAATTTTACAATTTACAAAAATCCTCTGCTGGAAAAATAAAAAAAAACAGTTTATGATTAAATTGGTTCCCAAAGCCCCTCTAGAATCAGCCAAACAAACCAGCCTGATCAGTTTGAGACACTAACTAAGACCATCAATATTGTAGGCTGGTTTAAAATATATAGACTTTTCTTTGTGGTGACATTCAGACGTCATGGTCATAGACTGACCCTCCTACTCTTTTTGCATGTTTACACTTATCAAAAGAGATTAATCCTTTGATAAAGCTTTCCCCTTATTGTCCTGATCTGATAAGTATCTGTAATGTAGCTTTTCAGGTTGTACTGTCTCTGTGTGGACAAACACATACACACATGCACATGATGACTTTGACAGCTGTGTGTTTTGTTTTAGGTCTGTCTGAGAAGAAAAGTGACCTTCATGTGTGTGATGAATATAATTGTTCTTTTGGAGGAATATGCAGGTACAACGGATCACACCTGGAGTGTCTTTGTCTGTATCAGGTTTGTTTGTTCTGCTGCAATGCTTAAGCTCTCAATTATTATCTTGATTACAACAGTGACATAGTTACTGTCTCATGCAGCTTTCAGGATTCATTGTTTGTTTCTTTCAGTGTCCACAGAGCTTTGCTCCAGTATGTGGGTCCGATGGTAACACATACCATAGTGAATGTTTCCTAAGACAAGCTGCCTGTGAACAGCAGACCGCAATCACTGTAATCACAGAAGGACACTGTCACGCCGGTTAGCAAAAATACTACATCAAACGCTTTACAAAAATAGCAGTTAAACACAAAATCATTGCTTCTCACTTAACAATATACACACATCTTTGGCTCTACACTGATGCTTTGCTTGGAAAATCTGCCCACATACAAGCCAGCAACTGAGAAGTTTGGGTTGTTAGTGTAAGAAACAGTACTGAACCCACACACAAACTCATAAAAAACATACAGATGTTCAGCTAATTTTGCCACATAACTAATGTTTGTATTGCATATTTTGTCACATTACTGAAATTATTATATTGTATAATTGCATTCTTGTGTAATCCAGAATTTGAAAACCAATAAACAGACATGGCATTTTACATGATGTTTATGTTTATCCCTTTTCTCAGATGCTGAGTCGGCATCAGGAGATACAGGTATGTCATCATCATCATTATTTTTTATTATTTATTCATTTTATTATTATTATTTGCTATTAGAGTCAACATCTAAAGTTTTAAGCAGTTAATGGTTCAGAGACACAAATGATCTACATGCATTGCCATATGATATTAACGTTGGCATGAAAATTCATCATATCTATTTTCTCAGTGCATGTTATTAATCTTATTGGGAATTATTAATCCGTGCATATGTTTCCTTTTTTTAAACTTTTTGACCTCAATGTCATATTTCAGTCTTCTGGTGAAATGACAGATTTCTTTCTGTCATGTGACTTCTCCAATCATCTGCTTAAACCCTGCCCCTTTCTTACAACTGACTTCAAGGTGCAGAACTACCTTCAGCCAATCAACAACTGATTTAAACCAAATCTCACCCTACTTGTTTATTTTTCGAAAAAAATTCGTTTCACACGGATGTACGTCACAAACAGAACCCAAACAGAAAATGATATCTGACTTTCAGTGCACTGTAAGCTGTGTGAATGTTTGTGTGCAGATCTGGAGAGTTCAGGACTGGAGCCCAGTAGATTCTCCAAGTGTTCTAGCTGCAAATTCGGAGCAGAGTGTGATGAAGACTCTGAAGACATTTGGTTAGTCAACATGTGATTTGTGTTTGTATACTACAGAGCAGTGCCTAAGCATTTTGTCAGCCAAATCCATTGATGTCAAATATTTATTTGATATTAGATGTTTACATGAAGTACCCCCATTTTTAATGTTCATATTTCAATAGATTCCCATTGTGAATTCCCATTTGTGAAATCCTGCTATAGAGGCAAACATGCAAGTAACATGAATTTTCTGTGCAGGTGTGTGTGCAATATAGACTGCAGTGGATACAATATGAATCCAGTGTGTGGATCAGATGGACAGTCTTACAGTAATCCATGTCAGATCAGAGAAGCATCCTGCTTGAAACAATCTCAGATTGATGTCAAATACCTTGGACAATGTCCAGGTAAACACACACATGCACACAAACAAATCACGCATCAGTAAACGCATATAGAGACAAATATTTACTGTAATCAAAACGACATGACTCTGTGTTTGATTCATCCTATAGATTCAGTGGATCTAGTGGGCGGAGTCAGTGTGGGTGGAGCAATGCCCTGTGCTGAAATCAACAGCAGCTTTTGTCTGCATGGAAACTGTGAGATGAAAAATAGCCTGGCAACGTGCAAGTATGACCCACAAACATGCACAAGTCATGTACTGTAGTAAATAGCAAATTGAATGTACAAATAAGGGGTTATAGGCATATGGGGTTAATGCGTTTTGGTCTTGTTGTTTAGGTGTGATCTGGGGTTCTCCGGTGTGCAGTGTGAGCGAAGAGACTTCAGTGAATTGTACGTGGTGCCCAATGGACAGAAGCTTCAATACGTCCTGATTGCTGTGATCATCGCTGCTGTACAGATCAGCATCATCATCGCGATCATAATATGCATCACAAGGTAAAAATCACCTCACATGCACACAAGCATGCACCAAATAAATGCTAATATAAAAATAAGCAAACATGTCAACACACTCACCAGTCCTCAAAACTGTTGCCTTTAGGATTCATCCAAAAAAGCCACGAGGTCGTCTTCAGAAACAGAACCTGGGACACTTTCCCAAAGATGGAGGACGCATGATTGAATAGCTGCTGATTACTTTAATACAAACACACAAACAACTGCACAACTATGTTTTGACGTTAGTATTTCAGTGGCCTTATTTCACCCTGTCACCATGATCTTTTTATTTTTAAATCTCTTTCCACTTTTCTCTCCCCTTCTCAATTTTGCCTTTTGTCGTCTCTCTCCCTCACTTTCTTACTAGTCCAAATGCAGTAAATCCACATGGTGAAATGTTTACATTAGTAGATTATTACATTTTCTGAACAAAATTTAAGTGATTCTTGCCATGTAAAACATCCTAGCATGATACTAGAGTGTTTGTATGTATATTTTTGAGGAGATTGTTTACTATAACTTTCATAATCTATAATATTTATGACTGGAGGACAATATAACGGGCCAAACAATCCCATAGATTTACACTGACTGAGGGCCCAGAGCCATATATAGGGACCAGAATTATATCAACACTTTGTGGTGGACTTTTTAAACTTTGGCCAGTAAGCAACCACCCAGAACACCATTACAACCACATAGAAACATGTAAAAAAAAAACTCCCAGAAAGCCTTAGCAACTACATAGCAATGTCCTGTCAACCACATACACAATATACAATAGCTGAGGGTCAGAGGTTAAAGCAAATCAGAGAATGTTTGTAAAGCCCATTCTTACTATAATCCGTTGTTTTCTATTTATACTTTGCCTTCTATCCACCTTATTTTTAACTTAAGAGCGGGTGTGGCCATTTTTAACTTGAATGTGCAAGGTTTCCGGTGTCAGACAACTCCAGTATTTTTAACTGTACAAAAACAATCCATTATGCTGCTTGATATTACAAACCCGTATTTGTTATTATATTTTTTAAATGTATTATCGCAATCATAAATACACTGGTTTGTTTACTGCACTTTGTTATTTCTCTAGTTATTTTACTCATAGTGGCTAATATTATAATTATAATAATTCCTGTGGCTCAGTGGTAGAGCATTGCGTCAGCAGCGCATAAGGTTGTGGGTTTGATTCCTAGAGAACACACATACTGGTAAAAAATGTATAACCTGAATGCACTGTAAGTCGCAAAGCGCTGCTAAATGCATAAATTATTAATATTGAAAGTCTTGCACATTCACAGAAAATAGCTTACTTCCATGTAAAAAAAATAAGGTGAAAAAAGTTGGGAAAAACATTACAATCTTTTAATTTTGGAAACAGAGCAAAAAGGAGTTTTATAGCAGCACAATCCAAAACCAAGTAAAACAAAACCTCTTACAACCGAATCCCTGTAAAGCGGGTTTTCACAATGTGTGACTGTGAAATTCTGTGCGTTTATCAGTCTTATAAAGTCAGTTTGTAAATCAAGTGACTTGCTATTATGAGAAGGTCTGTATAATTTTGCATGTCAAATCTGTAAACTCAGCAAACATTTATAAATTGGGTTTAAAGGAAAACTTCATTGTTTTGTGATTTTCTTTATCTGGGTGTTACTAGTGTATTTCAGTGGCTCAAAGTGCATGCTGGGAGATGCAGTTTTCAAATGTCAGCTTGCCTGAATGTGAGGTCAGAGGTCAAAACACCAATGCGGAACACCTCCAAGGTCAGTTTACACTGTCAGTGCGTTCCAAACGGGATATATCGCCCTCCGAAGGTCACTTCGGAGTGAAAACAATCATGGCCGCCATATTGAAGGGTCGTTCCAAACCAAAGTGCTCAAAACTGGCCACTTCAATATTAGGCTATTACAGTATAATAAGCATTATATAGTGGTTCAACGCATTATAGGCTATTGTGTTTTTTTTTTTGAGTCGCAGATCGGACAATTTTTTCGGATAAGCAAGAAAAAAAATATTTAAAGCACAGAGAATGACAATGCCGTGAAGGGTTTTTGACAGGCTAATTTTATGTGTGTAGGCCTATGTATACGCAACTCGGTATTTCCTCGCTGTCTGAAACACGTCTCTATGCTTGGGCGCGCTTTGATTGTGTGCGAGAACAGCGCGTGAGTAACGAATTGAGCTCTCTTTCGTTTCTTCTTCTTGTGGTTTCAAATTGCTTGTAGGCCTATACGTGTAAACTGGCAAATTAATCTGCTAATCACGTGCGTGCCGAACAGTAGGGTCTCATCCATACGTATTACGGATCAACTGCGATCCGTTTAACTCCTAATATGTGACAGATCAGAGCAATCTTTCATTTACTTATTTAACATGAAATTGTCAAATTGCTACTCCATATCAATCGCATACAAAGAAAATACAGAATAATTAGAACAATCATTAACATAACAGAGTGTGTCATAGCCTATCTATACACATTTTTCCCCAGAACGTTCTTGCGACCCGGTAGCAATTCTTCCACGGCCCGGTAGTGGGTCGCGACCCGGTGTTTGGGGACCTCTGCCCTACACCCTTCAACCCTTCGAAGCTCTCACTCCGAAGGGTAAACCCTTTGAAGGGATTAGGGCATAGGGATGAGCCCTTTCGAATGGAACGCAGGGTGTGTGTGTGTGCGCGTTCCACAGCTGTTGGCTTCAGTTGAGTTGACGGTATGCCACAGGGGGGTGGATTTATAAAAGTAAGTGCACCTCACCACACAAACACACACATTTGCGCTCAAGATCAATGTCACTGTCATTTTAACTATTTCAAAGCTGAGAGAGCGACACGTATTATGCATATCCACAAGACTCCCTGACACATACAGGAATGTTTGAATTAATGGGGCTTTCCAGTGCTTCTGTGATACAGCTTCCAAAAATGTCTTAGTATCCTCTTACAGTTGTATTTATATCCATGCATTTCTATCTGTGTGTGTGAACAGGGGTGGAGTTTGTCAGATTCCACTGGGGTCTCTCTCTTGGAGTGTCAGTTTCTCTCTGTACTGTGTGTTTGATTCCGTCTGGCCCTTTACCCATCTCTGGCCCGGTAGCTTTATTTTCAGGGACGTGTGAAAGGGAGCATCGGAGATGGAAAAGAGAGGAGATGTAATGCTGGGGGTCGAGGATGAATCCGGGCAGCCTGTCTCGGCCTTGTCGATACTCTCTCTGCTGGAACGCGTGTCTACGATCATCGATGGTGTCCAGGCCAGCCAGCAGCGCATGGAGGAGCGTCAGCAGCAGCTCGAAAGCTCGGTGAGCGCCGTCCAATCCGAGCTTCTCAAACTAGCTCGCGACCATGGCGCCACGGCCACAACCGTTGACAAACTGCTCCAGAAAGCCCGCCGCGTGAGTGCGCACGTTAAAGAAGTACGTTCACGTGTGGAGAAACAGAACGTGCGTGTGAAGAAAGTGGAAACTACACAAGATGAGCTGCTCACTCGCAACAAGTTCAGGGTTGTCATCTATCAGGTAAACACATTCCTAACAACCACAGCATGTGTGATATGGCCGGGTGACTGAGGGTGTGGCTCTATCGTCGTGGCCTAATGGTTAGAGAGTCAGACTCGTAACCCAAATGTTGCAGGTTCGAGTCTCGTACCCGCAGGGATTGTAGGTGGGGGGAGTGAATGTACAGCGCTCTCTCCCACCTTCAATACCACGACTGAGGTGCCCTTGAGCAAGGCACCGAACCCCCAACTGCTCCCCGGGCGCCGCAGCAAAAAAATGGCTGCCCACTGCTCCGGGTGTGTGTTCACGGTGTGTGTGTGTTCACTGCTGTGTGTGTGCACTTTGGATGGGATAAATGCAGAGCACTAATTCCGAGTATGGGTCACCATACTTGGCCACATGTCACATCATTTCACTATCTTTGTGGCATTTAACAGCAAGTTGGCACTGTAATCTCACGCAGTGCAACAGGGGGCGAACTTGAGAATTTCCCTTTTAGAGCTGATTGGCTAACTATTTCTGTTAGTGTGTCAGATGAGTGATATAAAGATAATTTTGAAATGTCCATTCAAGAGACTTCCAGAAAGAGGGAAACAGTGAGTGACACTGGGCCTTAAAGGTATAATTCTGTCATCATTTACTCACCTTCATGTTGTTTTTTTCCTACGTGGAACACAAAAGAAGATATTTTGTAGAATGTTGGTAACTAAAGTGTTTCAGGTTCCATTGACTTACATAGTATGAACAAAAATTGAAGTCTGAATGGCTATTGAAGTCAATGGGACCCGAAACTCTTTGGTTACCAACATTCTTCAAAATATCTTCTTTTGTGTTCCAAAAAATATCAGGTTTGGAGTGACATGAGAGTGAGTAAATATAACAGAATTTTTATTTTTTAGTAGTCCTCTTTAACCACAGACATTGAGTATAACAGCAAAAGCAACTGTTTAATTGTTTCCCAAAAGCAACTATGGTCGCAAGTTCCGTTGTTAACAAGAGTTCAATGGAACTAACGTAGTTAGCTAACAATGCTTTTGGGAAACGCACCCCAGATTAGTAGTTGTCCATTGTGGTTTTGTCTATTAAATTACTGTTCAATTTTTTTTACCAATTTACATTTGGTGCCCCTAAAAAACATGATCCTGAAAACGTGATTTAACTGATGATTCATTTCAATTCTTCTAGGTAGCAATGCACAGATGCACAGAGGCAAATTTGTCTGTTTGACTCCTCACTCTGTAATGCAACACATCAATATACAGAATGAATAATTAGAGAATATGTGTGACATAATAAATTAGTCTAAATTAGGCTTTTAGACAGTGTGTGTGACAGTATAAGCGTGTGTGTTTGTGTATGGTTATTCTGAGGTTTCCTAATATAGAGCTGCACACACAGCTGAAGAGACTCTTTAAGGCTATTCCCTGAATAGGGAGTTTATACATACACATACATAGACATCCATTCTTACAGACTACAAAAATGCCCTCAAGGGAAGGGTCAACTCATGTAACCAAACTTCAGACTGACATAAAACCTAGTCTCCGTTGCTTGTTAAGGCTAAGAAATGCCCACTTAAACAGGAAGAAACTCTCTGACCAACTTATAAAGTGACCAGCCACAATATGATTTGTTTTAACATTATGTAAGCATACTGTAAATGTGTAATTGATAATACCACAGCTGTAGATCAGCACTCAAAATTTAACTCAAAATAATAAAACGTAAAATTAGTGGAAAATGTATGTAGGCCTTGTGATTAGAATTTTTGTGCACCCAAATGTAAAAGTACAGATTATTGTAGACATAATTTTAAAAAGAGAGACAGAGAGAGAAAGAGAAATTGTGATTGATAACTGAATAACCTTCAAAAATCGGACTCCACAAACCTCCAGATGGACCGATAAAAACCTATGAGACTTTTAAATTGTAACTGTTGATTTTAACCAGTTTTTAAAAAAAAATTCATGCAATGTAACATTATACATATCATCTTATATGCATCATGGTGAACCTTCCAAAAAGTAACAGCTGAAAATATATAGGTAAACTTAAAGGGATAATTCAGACAAAAATGAAAATTCTGTCATTATTTACTCACCCTCATGTCATTCTAAATCTGCATGACTTTCTTTCTTCTGTGGAGCACAAAAGACGGTATTTTAAATTGAAGATTGCCTCATTTTGTCCATACAATGAAAGTCAATGGGGTCTAGTGTTGTTTGTTACACCACTGACTTTCACTGTATGGGCAACAGTTAAAATATTCTTCAAAAATATCTTCTAGTAAATGAAGACAATTAACTATGGGAGTTGTATTTTGTAACTGGACCAAGATTTACACCATAACACAGCACTGGAAATGTAGGAGCGCATTTGTGTTTCAATTTTTAAAAAAAATGATATAGAAATTTTAATTTCAATAATTCAGTCTAAATATGATGATAAGGAAATTGGTGTGTGGTAATCAGCTCAGTGCTTCTTGAATCTAGTAGGTAAGTTGCATGAAAGCATAAAAAATCCAGGCCTCCAGCAAAGTTGCTAACTGCAATTTCCTTACTAATGTTACTACATACAATTTTATACACACACAAATAGCACAGAGTTGTTCTTCATGA